GAAGGTATATAAAAACAAAGTACTAATTCAATAACTATTTAAAGAAACGCAAACCGTACCTCTATATACTATATAGCTAATGTACGTGATTAGCAAAAACCAGACTCGTTGCTAATTTATTAAACAAAATTAGTTGTCATTAAATTCTAATTACAAAATGTTATCACTGATTTTATTATTAAAGATTAGTAGTCTCGTTATTAGCCCTTTACCTAACTAGAAAAATTTAGACTATAATTGAATCAATGAACAAATATTTTAATAAAGTTTTAAATAGCATTGCTCTCTAAATCTTACATATGTACTTGATTTATTAACTTAAAAAGTATTCGTTTCATAATACTTTTTCCTACCACCAAGAACTAATAACTAAATTATACAATAAATACCGAGAAATAAGAAAGTGAACAAATTGAAGAGTTGAATATTGTTTTCAAACAGCCTGTACGCAGGTCGCGTTGACATCAGCCCGTGTAATGGAAGCACATTATTTTGCGTCTAATTAATTTACGATAATGTACTGATAAACCATTAAATAATATATTATCAATCGTAATTTTACATTAATTTCATTAAAATTGACGGCAATACCATTTCCGGAATATTTCCACACAGTACATTTTGATGTAAATTTCTTGTATCAAAAGTTCATCATTTATTGATAACTGCATATTAAGAATTAATTATATGATCATGCAAGTGTTTACACGGGAACCAATATCAATTACCTATATTATTTCGACTATGTATGATCAGTATTCTTTTGTTACTTGAATATCTTTCAAATTTCGTTGCTTCATTGTAATTTTTTTTAAACTTAGACTGATACATTTCCAATAAAAAAGTGTAGAATAAGAATTAGCTGTTGAAGTGATTAAATATTATAAAAATATTGAAACTTTCTTCTCAAGATTACAAATATGTTATGTAATCACTTTGGAATGATTGGAACACGTTTCGTTTGTGACTGTAGGTTACATTGTGTATTTCGTAGTTTTGTAGATGGTCAATAACATGACGAGTGAAACAAAACTTATAATATTAAACAAAGGCCACATGAATATTCAGTTTGGAGTCCTGCCCACTCCGCGACCAACCTAAACCGTGACGAAAACATATAAAATACTCGAGCACAGTTTTAGCAATAAAACATTCACAAAGAAATATTATTTCCGAACTCGTGCTCACGAAACGAATTATTGTTTCAACAAATTATTATCTGGACATAAAACTCTCAATTGGCAAAGATACAGTAATAAGCATAGAAGATATCTACTTATCGAAGATACGGACCCAACAAGCCGTGGCGCAATAAACCAATAAAATAAGAATATAAATAAAAATAACTGCTGTGTTATAAATAATGTTGGAGTAGTACTTGTATAGGGCTGTATATCACGGGGCTCAGGGTGGCGTGTCACCCGACTGAGTTATAGCGTCACAGAACATAAAATATACAACAAAAACTGTTGTTCTTCCAACAGTTTTGCCCCATATTAAGAATGAGCACAAACAGAATGTGGATTTGGAATAGGAACCCGCGATATGATGGAGACGGCGTCACACTAAATATTTTTCAAAACCACACACGTTTGCATTCAAAATATAGGGCTTTTACGCAGTCATATTCACATTATTGCTGTGTCACTATCAAAACAAGTAAATCGTGCATAAATTGAGAACGTAACAAGACTACCGTATCTTATCTTAAAACAATACTTTAAAACATATGGCCAATCAATATTAATAATCCTCTAATAGTATATAGATTGCCAAGTTCATTGATGGACATGCACTTATTGAAGACAAGAGAAGACTTGTAATAATTGCATGTCTAATACTGTCTCCATCTATTCTCGCTAGCCGCATCCTCCGGGCCGATTCAAGCCCAGTTCACGGTGTAATTCGTTATTTTTATTGTTTTTTGTTATTATGATTCTGTCCCCTGGATTACTGTCCGTGATACATGGCCAAGCACTGGATGCGTTTAATTGCCCCGGACGCTTTCCCGGTACGCGATAAATAATAAGATTAAGGTGGGAATAGTGGATTTGGCTGTTTATAATATGGGCGTTACTTACCCTTTATGTTTTTATGAGCGGTGTTTAAAGGAAATATTGTGTTTGTGAAGGAAATTCATGGTTTTTGTTTGTTTGTTTGTGTGTGTGGGATAATAGTTTGGCTGTGTACGTAAGAGCTATTGTTACATTTTATCGTAGTTTAATTAAAATTTTGGACTGGTCATACATTTATCACTGAGGGTTGAAAACGCAATCCTATTTGAAATTGTAATCCTTGGACCTAAATCTCAATATCACCATTCAAAAAGTTGTCAAAATTAGCTAAATTAAGCAGATAAAATGTTCAAAATATGTAGACCGCAGAAAATAAGTTCATTTTATGTAAAAAGTTAAATATAATAAGAGTGTCGGACATTTAAAACAAAACAACAATACGATGTATTTGTTGGCACTCGGTAATATTAGACCTTCTCATTAGGGAGGGCAACAATATTTGTAGGGAGGATACTTGGACACATAAGTGTTAAGGAACGGTCAAAAAAGGTTAATATAAAAACTTTCAATTGTCCTATTATGTAGTACATGCACTTCTATCTGCGACTACTGAATTTGACAATGAGTTATCTTTTCTAGGAAGTCATTATGTATTTAAAAATTTGAATAATTAATTTAAATCGTTGCCAAAACTTATCTTTGATGAAATCGCGATCAAGATTTGATCATTCAAATCATTGTAATTTTAATTTTATTATTTACAATTTTAATTGCGATCTTCATAAATTATCTTCATCGTTAATCAAGTGGGATCAATTATTTGCCAAACACAAGGTCGAGAACCTGAGGATATCATTTTTTTTACTTTTACTAGCTTTTACGATATATATAGTTATACGTAGTATTTATTACCTATATTTTAAAAAACTTTAATCTCCTATTACAATGGAAAGAACCTCTTCCTATACAAATGCTGTTGTAATATCACAGAAAATTAACAAAATCAATTATAACAAAACACTGTTTGGCTTAAGCGTACCCATTATTATAAATCCGTTGTAACGCTCATTTCAAAACGATAATTAAGCGACAGCCGCTCGTTGTTCACAAAAGGTGCCTAGTTTATTGCAACGTGTGTAACACTCGCGTCCTTTTTGTATCCCCCCTGTATATGAGCAAAGATGAATCTACCATTCGTTTGGAACGGCCACCGTATTAAATTAGAGATTAAGAAATTATGACGGTTTTAATATTAATTTGAATGTACTAAAAAGACTAACTCATTTTTAAATATCTTTGAATATTATATTCTTTAACTTTTTGACGGAAACTTTTAGTCTTTAAAGTGTTGCTTCATTGTTATGTTCCAAGATTAAAGTCAAAGTCAAAATCTGTAACAGTTCGATTTTTGAATCTAGCTAAGTCCCCAAGCGATCTCCGGTGACCGCTCTCCACTTAATCCATTATAAACCATATTTCCGATGTTTAAAAACTACTTTTGTATGAACAAATGTTGTGAATTTTTCATAATCGGGATTCGGAAGCTAGTCAAGTATTATTTAATTGCATTTTTTCTATGTCTAAAATTTTATCCTACTAATATATATGCAAAAGTTTGTATGATTGTTTGTTCGGTACTCCTTCACACCTAAACGGCTACAGTATCGGGTTGGCTTTTCTCCTGTGTCATGGGTGCGTTTACAAACATACAATATCACATACTCATGACACCCAGACCTCGAATAACAATCTGTGGATACACAAAGAGTTGTTCCGTGCGGGAATCGAAACCGCGACACGTTGCGCGGCAGCCAGTTGCCCAGCCAACGCGCCAACCGTGCAGCCGTGGAGTCAATATGGAACAAAAGCAGATTATAGTCTGAAAGAACACATAGACTCCTTCTTATTTTACAGGAACGGCGAAGCCGCTGCCAGAAGCTAGTCGTACGTAAGACTAATAATAATTAGAGGTGGCTATTTATAATTAAATTGTATCATCAATTGGATTGTATTGTGAACCTGATTGGAAAAGAGTAACCTGTGGAGTTTCTTGCTCGTTCTTATCTATAGGAACACCTTGAAATGAGCAAATAGCTTCACTTTTAAATTTCTATTGCTGACGTTTAATAGTACCTTCCTGGTCTAATTGAAATAAATGATTTTGACTTTTGACTTTTTTGACATCGAAATCAGAATCACTATACAAGGTAATCTAGGATTATTTATTCAATCTAATTATATGTTTATGTTAGACGTGTCTAGGTATATTGTCCAATGATAACAACAAATTATTTTCTTTGTTGTTTAATTTACGAGAGAATTGTCACGTATCTATCTATTATAAAGCTTTATCTAGGTGCTATAATCTATGAAAACATTGATCTGGACTACAAACAAGGCCAATGATTGATATTAGTACTTATTTGTTCCAAATCTTATAATCGTATATAATTTTTCTATTATTATCTATGGCTAGCTATACGTTATAGGTCGTAGCGTGATGTTTTATAGTCTGTAGTCTTCCTTGGTTAATCGACTATCCAACACAATAAAAAATATTCAGACCGGATCAGTAGTTCCGCAGATTAGCGCGTAAATAAACAAACAAATTCTTCACCTTTATGTAATAAATATGAAGAAAAGTCTATTCACTGAATTGTTTTTTTTATTATGTCAATGCAATGTTTACTTCTATAATCTTGAATATTCTTCATTTTTCTTAATATGTTTTGACGATTCATAATTATGTTTAACGGACTATTCAATGTAACTCCTATGTTTGTACGGATTAGGATAATAAACATTAAAAACAAACATAAAATCAAGAAAACCTATTTATTTACACTACACTTAATGCTATAATCTGATAATGATTTGCAAATCAATACGAGATAGCAAAATTATCTAATGACCTAAAACAATGCGCCTGCGCACTTTATAATAACAACACATAAATCAACGCCTCAGTTACTTGCGACCGTTCGTAGCGGTAAGACGTGTAACAATGTGCAGCACATTTCTTGACTCGGAAGCCATATTGTCTGGCAACGAGCAATGGATAAAACTGGAAGAAAAATGGGGCGAACCAGTCGACCTGGATACTGAAGACGATCAACCAGGCGAACTACAGCCAGTCTTCAGCACCTTAGACTTGATGAAGTCCACCTTCGATTCCTCATTCCTGTTCAAGAAAGTGCGCAGAAAAGTTGGAAGAAGACTATCTAAAGCAGGTGTACTGGACTATCAGGAATTTTTACAAGACCTTCAACAAAGGGACCTGCCAAAGCAATACTACCTGATAAATGGGCAGATCCTATCAGCAGCGTCTGTGGAAGAAATATGTGACAAGATCGATGAGATCTTCAAATCTGTAGAAAAGCTTGCATCAGCGACTAGTACAATCAGAAAGAATCCTATGCCGGAAAAAGTGAGCTGCAGCATTTCAACTGAAGACCTTTCCTTTGATGACACATCTACAGAGAAGGAAAAAACTAATGAAGACATAGATGACTATGATGAAGATGACGTGGAAAGACAAATAGACGAGGCCTTTGAGAAACTCAGTCATTTTTCAAATATGACCATAGAAGATGAAGCTACGAGAGAATCTGTCACAACCCTTGTGAGGAAGTTCAGCTCCATTTTGTGTAACCCTGCGATTCAGTGCAATCCCCGAAGACAAAGGCAGTGTTGTAATAATTTTAAAGAGTTGGCAGAATTCTGGAAAACCCAGACTAGTAATGAAAGTGAGGTTGAACATTGAACTTTAATTTTAGTGAGTTATATGGAATAATTTCGATTAGAGGGTATATTTGTGGTTTAAGTGAATTATAGTCGACAAATTTGTTAGGTATGTTTAGGTTAGGTAATAAAGTAATATAAAATGTGGAATAATTTATGAAAGTATTTTATGGTAAGTTTTGTATAGCTGGGATCGAAGTGTGATTCTATTGTAATGACTGTATGTAGGTACTGTTAGTTTTTTATGTCTTATCTGTAAAATAATTTACTAATTGATTGGTTGACGAGAGTAATAGTCATAGATAATTTCTTAAGTACGGTATATTTTTAACCTTTTGAACGCCAGAGCAAAAACACATGAACCTGCCTTCGACACCAAGCCACAAATTCCACGCAAATTTCTACGAAAGAAATACGAAAGAAAATTATTGGAATCCCTATTGTTGATACAATAGGGATTCCAATAATTCGTGTTTCTGGTTCCGCTTTTTCTGTCATGTATTTGTGTCGTTGACGTCCAGGGACAGTTTTCGCTTGTCGCGTATATGTGACATTGGCGGTCAAAAGGTTAGTGGTATAAAGTTACCGTGTTGTAGGTAGGGTGTAATAATTGTGTGTGTATCTTTAGAAAGACTTATTAATTTGTAGGTAGATTAATATAAAGAACTATTGTTTATTAATTCGTTTGTAAGTTCATTTCCAAAGTTTATAATATAAATCATGTAGGTAATTAGGAATTAGGTTAACAATATAATATTGTATCGTTTATGAATTTCAATAAATATCTCTTAAAATGATTCGCTTTCTTTTTTTACTTCACACTCAGCACACTATTTTATTATAACACAATATTTTTTTATACCGTCACGTCTTTAATCCCCAAAGGTGTAAGCAGATATATTCATAATGACTTATAATGCCAAATATACAATTTACATATGTACACCAAATTCTTATTATTTAAGTTATGAGTCCCATGTTACATTAGTTACATTACACCATTTATTCTACTAAAGGGTTGGCACAATTGCACTTATTTTTTGCCAGTTCTACTGACATCCAATTTTAACCGTGTCCTCTCCTGAGAAACTGATGATTATACCAGGATTTTGCCAAAAGACCTTCGGTCTAAATGATCAGGTAAATAATGAACAGGGTGGAACTAGCAAATATGTCCTGACACAAACAGAGTCGTTACGGTGCTATTACTTAATTACCTGAACGGACAACAAATAGAAATTCATGGTTCATTAAGCAAACAACGGTGGCTTCGTTCCGTAGGTCCTCGCAGGACACGGGCCAAGTTAGTCGCTAAATCACTAGCGGTGCCTGTGGACCTCGTGGTGGGGATCCAAGGATGGTGGAGTTGTAGCGGTAATGCTGCGATTGTGGTGGTTAAGATGGAGTGAATATTTTGGGCGATGTTTTGAAAGAGTTTTGTCGTAGGTGGTCGTTTTCGATGTATGTTTTGTGTTTGGGAATGTTGTATAAGTTATTAACATCAAATCCTTACTAATATTATAAATCGGAAAGTGAGTTTGTTTGTTTGTTCCGCTTTCACGCCGTAACTACTTAACCGATCGTTTTGAATTTTTGCAGAAGTAAAGTTAGAAGTCCGGATTAAATAATAGGGTACTTTGTATCCCGGAAAAAAATTGATATTCCCGAGGGAAAACAAAAGTATTAGTATAGATGACGCTGTGTGTATTGGTATATGTCACATAGGCTACTTTTCATCCTTTTGTGACGCGAGCGAAGCCGCGGGTAAAAGCTAGTTACCAATAAATAAAAACATATACACATTAACGTCTCTGATTCTCTGCAGTTCAATCCTCCTTGTACTTACATCTGCTGATTTTCAATACTAACTACAATAGGAGTCTATTTAATATCTACCTCTACAATTAAATTCAATTACAGTGACTGATCAGTCACTTAGTATTTGTAATTTGACATCACACCATCACACAATTTGACATCATCACATAACATCATCACGCCTTATTACGGCATTTAATAGCTCTGAACAATATAACACCCACTTCTCACTATTTATGTTCTGAGTCCCATGTAATAGGGGGTGAGTCTATTGCCATATACCGGGCACAATTTCAGTCTCCGTGCTATTACTGAGAAGTTTTTATAAACCCAGTAATACTTTGCTCGACCGGGGAATCGAACCCAAAACCCCTTGTTCAAGGCAGTTCATCATCACCTACTATTATAAACTTCTAGTTCTCGCACCCATGACACAAAACAGTCAGCCAACCTCACCAGTCACCACCAGCGTCCACGATCAAAATTCCTCCCCGTATGTTGCAAATGTTTCGCGTACTGACCGGAAGCAGAAACTTATTCCGGCTTGTTCATGAGAGTTAGACAGTTTGTCAATTTATGAGCGCTGAGCACAATAACGCGAGCGCAGCGGATCTATGAAGGCAGATGCTGTTAATTGAGTTAACGTGATTAGCTATCTGTTTGTGCGATGTTTGTGTCAGTATTGAGGGGTCTCAATGACCTCGATTCTAAGTGACCATTAGGGTTCGATGTACCTGCGTTGTGCTGTAGAGTTAGGTGTAGGATATCTTACTAATGTTAAAATATTCATATCAACTTTGTTTTAAATGGAAATTAATTTTTTATATTTAATTGTTTAAAAGTATGTGTTACGTAAGACTGTTCCGTGTATTTGATATAATTTTATCAGGTAATGAAATCACTATCACTACATAGTATAAAACAAAGTCGCTATTCACCGTCTGTCTGTCCCTATGTATGCTTAGATCTTTAGAACTACGCAACGGATTTTGATGCGGTTTTTTTAATAGATAGAGTGATTCTTAAGAAAGATTTTTAAGTATAATACATGCATATTGCACCCGTGCGTAGCTGGGGCGGATCCCTAGTTAATAATAAAAGAACAAACTTATGGACGCGGCGCGTAATGTCCGAAGATTCCTCTCTCTGGAGCCCTGACCACCGGTAGCTTGGATTTCGCCTGTTACTGGTGGGCTACTTTCTTTTTTTAAATTTTTTTTTTCATCTATCAAATAGGTATTTAAAAACATGTAAATCAAGTAAAAGAAGGAACAAAAACCATTTAAAAATAATAACTTTTTTAAACATATGATTTTAATATTGTATACTATTGAGCTCGTTTAGTGTAACCTTAGTTTTTATTGTTTTTTAGATCTGATGCTTGATTGAATGTCCTCTTGGAAGTCCCATTAATCAGGTATTCTAACTATCCTTGTCGAAGAAGTTGACACCAAGTGTTGTTACCAAGTGTGAGAGAGCCATGCTTCGGCACGAATGGGCCGGCTCGACCGGAGTACTACCATGGCCTCATAGAAAACAGACGTGAAGGAACGCTTGCGTTGTGTTTCGTCGTTTGAGTGAAGTTACCGGAGGCCCAATTACCCTCCCCTTCCCCAATCTCCCCAATCTCCCCAATGCCTGATACCCCAACGATCCTCAAACTCCTAATCCCCAAAAGGCCAGTAACGCACTTGTAACGCCAGTGGTTTTCCAGCTGTCCATGGGCGACGCCAATTGCTTACCATCAGGTGATCCGTCAGCTTGTTTACCGGTTTATGCTATTAAAAAAAAACCAATCACTGCTGCACTTCTTAAGTCCAAACACCAAAATCAAACTCCTTAACCAACTTAAGCAATACAACATAAAATAGCACGAAACAGGGTCCGAACCTAGTTCCAAAATGTATTAATTAAGACTCCTCACAGAGTGGCACACCAGTCTAATCAACAACAACTTGCAACAATTTAATTAGGTGTTACGCAACACGTTGCGGGTTGCGGTTACACAGCTCCCCTAAACTCACCATGTTATAGGACAAGTGTGGTATTTGTTAGTTTCATAGTAGATACTAGATACTGTACGGTTTAATATTGAATGGTTATTGTAATGTTAGTAATGTTTTAATAACTTAAATTTAGAAAAAAAAAGAAATTAAAAGTAATAAGTCGCACAAAATATCAGTTTCATAAATAGTAGTTGTGTATTATTTCAATATGTATTACATATTTCAGTAACTCGTAGCCCGCCTCGGCTTCACATGGGTACAATATGCATGCATGCATGCATGCATGCAATATATTATACATATAGACCTTCCTTAAGAATCACTCAATCTATTAAAAACACCGCATCAAAATCCGTTCCGTTCTTTTAAAGATCTAAGCATACATAGGGACAGACAGACAGCGGAAAGCGACTGATTTCTACTACGTCGTGATAAATTAGTAATCAATGTAATACTATTAATATTATTATTAAAAAAAAAACAAATTGCTTCAACACAATATTACAAAAAAGTACTAAAAAATATTTTTAATGAAGTAGCCAAAAAAGTCATTACGGCTGACCTGTCATCCCCTAATACGTGTTGTCAGCTCATTATCCTCTAAGAACTTAATGTCTTTGATGACACAAAGATTGGTGTCCACTAACGTGGTTATAAAAACAGCAACAGTGGTCCATTAGTGACGTCACGAGCTCCACCGCTCTCGATCAATTTGTGCGAAATCGCCGGTGCGAAGTGTTTTTTAATTAATTTTATGAGTGAATTTTGTTGTGGCACGTCGGTGCGTGGAGTCGTTTTCGTGATTTTTTTGTGTAATCTGTTTTATTTACAGTTGTCAATAAAAAAACACAATAAAATTAAACAAAAGGGAAACGCATGAAATTACGTAATTGTTTGTACTTACCTACATTATAAATGAAGCCATGTATATAATATTAGGTATTTGTAAGACTATAAAATAAGATAACAAAGTATTGACTGCACGGTGGGTGCTGCGGCTGGGCAACTGGCTGCCGAGCAACGGGTAGCGGGTTCGATTCCCGGACGGAGCAACTCTTTGTGTGATCCACAAATTGTTGTTCCGGGCGTGGGTGTCATGTGTAGATATGTAAAATTGTATAATTGTAAACGCACATACTACAAAGGAGAAAATCCTAGTGTGGGGCTATGTTTTAAAAAAAAACAAAAACAAAATAAAAAATATGTTAGAGTAAAGTCTAATCAGTAACTAGTTAACTAACTATAAAAGTATTAAAAAATAAATCAATTATTTACTAGGTACTCGCTAATCCAAAAACACTTCACAAACTGTCAATATGAAAATTCTTAATTTAAAAATACACCCGCCATCTTTTACTAAAAAGAAAAAAACATAAAACGACTACACATCTCCATACAAGTCCTGTCCGCGCGACATTGTCGTCGTCGACGCACTAATTCAATACGGCCGACGTAAGCCATTTGCGTTCGCGCTTGACGCATCGCCCGTGAAAAAATCAATTACGATTTTTTGATAGCCATGCTGACCGGCTGTGTAGTGTGGAGTGCGCTTCAGTTTATGGGATTATTTT